AGCGACACCCACAATTAAGGACAATGTTTTAATTGAAAGGGAATCTTTCCTATTTAGCGAAAGTCATTTTTACGCATCATATTTTAAAATGCTCGCCTAATGTTTCTCTGGGCACGCTACACTGTCCTAAGGGCAAAATTGTGCTGTACATTTCCTCAAAATAATTTACTAAATGATTAATACAATTTTTGTGTAGTGCAAACTATAGCACGATTATATTCAAATTAATCACTATCGTATAAGAATTCCAGTAATGTAAATTATATTCTCCCTGGTCACTTCTGTAACATATTATAAACGAAAAACAAAAACTCGATATACAGTGGGGTATGCTATAACGAACGGATCCTACTACGAATATTCCTATAACGAACGGTTTTACCTATAAAATTGAGAATGCTATAACGAACGCAACTCCTACAACGAACGCGGATGAATACGGGACTATTTCGCCTGGCGCATGAATATTGTTGTACCGCGACCCACAACAAGAGCGTCAGGCGCCATCTTTGTCTCATTGTGTAGCCAGTGCACCACTGTTATTGTTGAAATTTCGTCTTTTGATGTGGAAATTCGCGTTATTTGTATAACTATTTTGTTATACAAGTATACAATTGTAACAATGAGTCGTCCAAAGCGAGTGAGAAAGCTAATAACCCTTGAAACTAAGAAAGAAATTGTAAAGAAACGTGAGAATGGAAGAAGCATTGCGAAACTTAGTGATGAATATGGGATGGCTAAATCGACTATATGTACGATTTTGAAGAATAAAGAGGAGTTAAAAACTGTGCAAGTGGCTAAGGGAATCTTTAGACTTAGCAAAGCAAAGTGTAATGTGATTGAAGAGATGGAAAATTTACTCTTAGTGTGGATAAAGGAGAAAGAAATGGCAGGTGGTAACATTAGTGAAGCTATAATTTGTGAGAAGGCTAAACAATTGTTTGAGGACCTTAAAGCCAAGACTCCCAGTGGAAGTGATAGTGATGTGCCAGTGTTTAGGGGTACCTGCATGCTGAATAACACTAAGGTAAGATAAAGTACCGTATTTTTTACATTTTCCACAGAATTTTTTCAGTGTTAAGTGGTTGTATTTGGGGGCCTGGAACGGATTAATCCTATAACGAACGAGGTTCTGGAACCAATTACGTTCGTTATAGCATACCCCACTGTAAAGGACATAAACAAATAAATACTTTACTAGACCTTTGGTGCCAACTGTCAAACATGTGTCACTGTCACCTCTCCCCCATCTTCCCAGTCTGGGTTGGGTGATTATTGGCTTACAGTTTTTATCCTATATAACATCACAGTTAGGAGAATATAATTTGCATTGCTGGAATCTTTGCAAGGCAGCAAATAATTTGATTACAGGTTGTATCTCTCTAGTCCGGCATTCTGTGGTCCGGAAACTCCCGTGGTCCTGAACGATTTTAGTTTGCCCAATAGGTAGATAGGCAGCTATTTTTTCATTTTTTCCTTTATTTTTTTCTTTACGTATCTGAATTATTATAATAATTACAGGAGTATTACATTTTCGTCCCTCAGGCCCCAATGTGGGTTAGTGACCTATGCCCGGGTGGGCTAATCCCCGCAAAAAAAACAAAAAACAACAAAGCTGTGGGAAATTAAGGTTTGTTTACATCCGGCAGTTCGGCTCTCTCTCTCTGTTCCTCTATACAGAGTACCCTTCAATATATATGAGCAGTAAATAAGTGTTGCTTTCATATTCTTATGTAGAGTAATGATGATGTGCTTTCACATGTGCACACTTACATACTCGCAGTCTCACTGTTTTTCTTTACCAATAATGGTTAGCTACGTATATTGTTCCATTTATTAACATTAAATAACATTACTTCAATCAACCATATTAATTTTTTTACATTAATTTTACTACAGCTACAACCAGAGTCTTATTTTTTTCAGTTTTATATGTAGAACCAGTCTGTCACTGGTTTTGTAAACATTAACGAAAACAGTGCCGTCTCGTCTCCTCATGTGTTTTAATATTCCACCTTTTATTAATGAATTTTATTGTTCATTTTGCACACACAAACATTAATTCAATAAAAGAAATTCAGAAACAATTAAAACATATATGAACAGTAAATAAGTGTTGCTTTCATATTCTTATGTAGAGTAATGACATTATGTTTTTCACAAGTGCGCTCTTACATATGCGCAGTCTCACTTTTTTTCTTAACCATTATGATGGTTTGTTACTTTTATTGTTCCATTTATTAACACTAAATAACATCACTTAAAACAACCATATTAATTTTTTACATTAATTTTACTACAGCTACAACCAGGGTCTTATTTTCTTCAGTTTTCTATGTAGAACCAGTCAGTCACTGGTTTTGTAATCAACGAAAACAATGCTGTCTCATTGCCTAGTGTGTTTTAATATTCTACGTATTATTATTGAATTGTATTGCTCATTTTGCACACATAAACATTAATTCAATCAAAAAGACATTCAGTAATAAACAATAATGAATCTTTTGTACATAAGAGAAATGACGCTGTTTACACGATTGTGCATGTCTGAACGTTGGCGGGCCGTTCAAACCCGTCGAAATTCGAGTTTCCGTCGTCAAAATTTTAAATTGTGTAGTGTTTTTTTTGTGTGTCCAAATATAAACCATCAAATTAAAAACTCGCAAAACTTGAGAAGCTACTGTACAATATTTAACCCTTCAATATGTCTTCAAGCGTAAGCACAAGTCACTATCTATCCAGGAAAAGGGTGAATTTGCATGGTCCGGCACCGGTCAGGTCCCGAGGTTGCCGGCTTAGAGAGGTACAAGCTGTATAAGTGTCATATATTTTGCACAAGAGATAAAAATTTTAGCCCTTTGTAATAAAATTAGTTAAAACAAAAATTTTTGTGTCTAATGCAAACTATATCATGTATATATTCAAACTAATCACTATCTTATAAGAATTCCAGCAATGTTAATTATATTCTCCCAGGTCAGTTCAGTGACATTTAATAAGAGAAAAACTTCGTCACTCTTAAGGACAGATAAATAAATAAGAACTAGACCTTCGCATCAACTGTCAAACATATCACCTCACCTCACCTCACCTCCCTCCCTCCCCCCATCTTCCCAGCCAGTAAACAGACCATTTCGTATCCCTTAATTTTAGCTGTGTTGATTTATGAGTGTTTCTTTTAACATAATACTACAAAACACAATGTTTTGTTTATTCTAGGAGATGGGCTGAGGTGCATCTGGGTAGACTGTCAGTCTTTTTAGTATTTTGTGTTTCTCTCAAGTACCAAACTAAATTATTCCATTGAAACAACACTTTGATTTAGTGCGAATTTGGTTTAAAGGCACCTCTCTAGGAACGTATCTCCGCTATATCGACGTTCTACTGTACTGTCATGCTGCTGAGAGACTGCTTTGGCCTGCCTCTACAATGACCACACATGGCTGACTTATGGTTTTTTAATGGAGAGGGTGCCCCCCTCCCCATTGTAATGACTGTCTGGTCCCATTGACTGTTCAGCACCTCCTGGTGGAATGCCCCATTCTCAAAGATCTTCGTTGTGAGCACCTCTCCCAGTGTCAGGGTGGAGACAGACCTTACTGTCTCTCTTTGGTGCTAGGGAAGGAGAGGGTAACGTGGGACGGGACATTCTCTCCTTTGCAGAGGAAGCCAGTCTTCTACACAAGCATTGAGTTTTATTTATTAATATTTAAATGGTGTTCATGAAAGTTCTATGTTATTTATTGTGTTTTTACCTTGTATTATTTTATTTTAGTCTTAAGCCTTAATTTTTATCCGGCGACATATGACCTAAGTTGATGTCTAGCATTTGATATGAAGATACCTTCTTAAAAACGTTATTTACTACCTCTTAGTGTTATATGATGATTCAGTTGGGCTACTTGTATTTAGACAAATGATTAATGAATAAACCAAGGTACAGTACAGTATATGCAAATGCATATTACCTGTACAGTACTGTACTTTACACTACAATATTACTTATTAAGTGATGATAAATACATTGCAATAGTATTTATTAAATGGTGATAAATACACTGCAATAGTATTTATTAAGTGATGATAAATACACAACTGTACTGTACTAATTTGCTAATTTTTGAATACAGACATTGTGGTAAGCCAATCAGTTGTTTGCTCTTTGTAAACAAATGATGCATAGTGTTCAGTGTGGGATTCTTTTTTCAGGAAAGGTGATTCTTTTAGGATAATATTTTATCAACCCGGCACCAAATGATCCTAAATTATATGAGAATTGTGGTAAAATTGCATAAAGAAGTGTTAAAGGAATCTTGTGGGAAAGAAGGGGTGGGACCCCCCACCCATGATACCCCCCTCCCCTCTGCCAGCTGCTCCCAGATAAACATTCGTCTTCCACATACAGTATACTCCTACACTTATTTGTTCTTATTTTTATCTTCATAGTGCTGTACAGTATACAGTTTTCTCTTTATTCATAAGACAAATTTTTTGCTTGCTCACATATAATACTTTATAGTAAATAACAATCATCTCAGTGACAACCAGACTTCTTGTCTGATTTTCAACCCAGAGAGTTCTGTTTCATATTTTTTTTATTGTTGATGTAATATTCTTTTAATATCCTTGTTATACACTTAAAGATCTTAGTTGTTGAAGTGCGGTAATAACATAACAACAACTGATTTTCTTTAGACAGTTCAGAAAGCAGTGTTATTCCCCCCAGTACATTTGCTTTTCTCAGACTTTCGCATTTTTCGGACTGGGTTTTGCCCCTATTAGTCCGATTTATCGAGGTTCTACTGTACTTGTGTTCCATTTCATTTTTGTGCCTCAGAAAATTTCCATACTAATGCATCTCAACTTATATACTGTACACAGTAATAGAAGCCAATAGGAAAAATGGTTTCATGTTACTGAATTTCACTTTGTGGAAATATTTTCAGGAACGTAACCCGGGTATGCCTGTATTTTATATTCATTTTGAGTTTCTCTATCAGACAGGTGTATCTTCATGCCATGGTTCGAGATGCTCATGGTCGTAAGATGAGCAAATCCCTTGGCAACGTAATCGACCCAATGGATGTGATAAATGGGATCACATTACAGGTATGTGTGTGTTTTTTAAGTTTTGTACATTGTATGAAGCACCATGGGTACCAACTCAGAAGATATGTGTACCTGTAATATGAATGGCTCTTCTGAATTTTTTTGTGAAAGGGCCACTTTGTGGTGGTCACTTAAAGCTTTCTAGTATGAAGGTCCTTAGGAACTAAATAAAATGAATGCCTCTTCAGAACTTTTTAGTCTGAAGGTTCTTAGGGAACTTTCCAGTATGAAGGCCCCTTTGGAACTTTAGTATGAAGAACATTAGGGACTTTCTGGTTTGGAGGCATTTAGGAACTTTCGAGAATGAAGGCCTTTATGAACTTTCTAGCATAATGGTCCTTAGAAACTGTATAGTATGAAGGTACTTAGGAATTTTCTGGTATGAAGGCCCTGAAGAGCTTTCTTGTATGGAGACTCCTTAGGAACTTTGTAGTATGAAGGACCATAGGAACTTTATAGTATGAAGACCCTAATGAACTTTCTAGTATGCAGTCCCTAAGGAACTTTCTAGTATGCAGGCCCTAAGGAACTTTCTAGTATGCAGGCCCTTTGGAACTTTCTAGTATGCAGGCCCTTTGGAACTTTCTAGTATGGAGGTCCTTAGGAACTTTCTAGTTTGAAGGCACTTAGGCACTTTCTAGTATGGAAGCCCTTAGGTACTTTCTAGTAAAGAGGCCCTTATGAACTTTCTAGTATGAAGTCCCTTCGGGACTTTCTAGTATAAAGGCCCTTAGGAATTTTCTGTTATAAAGGCCCCTTAGGAGCTTTCTAGTTTGGAAGGCCTTAGGTACTTTCTAGCAGGAAGGACCTTAGGTACTTACTAGTATAAAGGCCCTTAGGAACTTTCTAGTATGAAAGTTAGAAGGAACTTTTTAGTTTGGAGGTAATAAAAAACTTTCTAGTGTGGTAGGTCCTTATGAACTTTCTAGTATGAAGGACCTTTATGTACTTTCCAGTTTGGAGGTCCTTCAGAACTTTTTAGTATGAAGGCCCTGAAGTACTTTCTAGTCTGAAAGTCCTTAAGAACTTTCTGATGTCAAGGCTGCTTAGGAACTTTCTAGTACAGAGGCACTTAGGAACTTTCTGATATAAAGACCCTAAGGAATTTTCTGATATGAAGGCCCTTAGAAACTTTCTGATATGAAGGCCCTCAGTTATGTAGTGGCTCTTTTATTTTTTACCTGACCTGACTAGTCACGTCGCCCCGTTTCTCTTAAGCTCCTCTACGTGTGTGTTGGTGTGGGGATTAGTGGATGACATCATTTTGACCTGGCCTCATGTTTAATAAGGTCACCCTGTATATTTAAGCCTCTCTCTGTCCATGTAACCCAGTTGCCTCTGAAGATGTCTTGAATAAAGACAAAAGCTGAGGTGCTCCGTTGTTTCCCTTTCTCTTTGTGATTTTATCAAGATATATATATATGTTGCACTTCTCTAGTCCGGCAACCTCGGGACCTGACCGGTGCCGGACCATGGAAATTCACCCTTTTCCTGGATAGATAGTGACTTGGGTTGGAAGCACTAGCACCACTTTCTCTGCTTCATGGTTTCTTTGAAGACATATTGAAGGGTTAAATGTCGTACAGTAGCTTCTCAGATTTCGCGAGTTTTTAATTCGACGTTTTCTATTTGAATACACAAAAAACAAAACATTTAAAAATTTTGAGGGCGGAAACTCGAATTTCGACGGGTTTGAACAGCCCACCAACGTTCAGACGACGGGCACAATCTGTAAGCAGCATCATTTCTCTTATGTACGAAAGATTCATTATTGTTTATTACTGAAATTCATTAATAATACGTAGAATATTAAAACACGAGGAAATGAGACAGCATTGTTTTCATTGATTACAAAACCAGTGACTGACTGGTTCTACATATAAAACTGAAGAAAATAAGACCTTGGTTGTAGCTGTAGTAAAATTAATATGGTTGTTTTAAGTAATGTTATTTAATGTTAATAAATGGAACAATAGAAGTAGCGAACGATAATGGTAAAGAAAAAAGAGAGATCGCGTATGTAAGTGCACATGCGCACACGTGAAAACATATCGTCATTACTTTACATAAGAATATGAAAGCAACACTTATTTACTGTTCATATATATTTTAATTAATGTTTCTGAATTTGTTTTTATTGAATTAATGTTTGTGTGTGCAAAATTAACAGTACAATTTATTAATAATACATGGAATATTAAAACACACGAGAGACGAGACGGCTGCTGGCATTGTTTTTGTTAAAGCTTACAAAACCAGTGACTGATTGGTTCTACATATAAAGCTGAAGAAAATAAGACCCTAATTGTAGCTGTAGTAGAATTAATGTAAAAAAATTAATATGGTTGTTTGAAGTACCTGTAATGTTATTTAATGTTAATAAATGGAACAATATAAGTAGCTAACCGTTAATGGTAAAAAAAAAGTGAGATTGCGCTTTTGTAAGTGCACACATGTGAAAACATATCGTCATTACTCTACATAAGAATATGAAAGCAACACTTTTTTACTGCTCATATATATTGAAGGGTACTCTGTATAGAGGAACAGAGAGAGAGAGCCGAACTGCCGGATGTAAACAAACCTTAATTTCCCGCGGCTTTGTTGTTGTTTTTTTCGGGGATTAGCCCACCCGGGCATAGGTCACTGACCCACATTGGGGCCTGAGGGGCAAAAATTTAATATTCCTGTAATAATAATAATAATTCAGATAAAAAAAAAACAAAGCTGCTTATCAACCTATTGGACAAACTAAAATCGTTCCGGACCACGGGAGTTTCCGGACCACAGAATGCCGGACTAGAGAGGTACATCCTGTGTGTGTGTGTGTGTGTGTGTGTATATATATATATATATATATATATATATATATATATATATATATATATATATATATATATATATATATATATATATATATATATATATATATATATATATTCTTAAAGTTTTAAAGACAGGTGCAAAAATTGGCAAATTTTATGTGATTAGTTAAGGAATTCTTGAGGGGAACAAGTATGCATTCAGTTTGAGAAGTCATTCATTGACATTAATGTTATTACGTTATTACTGCACATCATCATTTTTGGTCTTTAAATGTGTAACAAGACTGTTCATTACACTGGTCAATCTACAATTAAAAATTATGAGAGATAGAATCATAGAAGTCTATATGTCTGTGTTACAATAAGTAGCTTATTGCAGTACAGGGGTGTATAATAGCAAGCATTTTCCTTATATAGGCTAGCATTTAGTTCATCAATGTAGGCATTATGGTAATATGTATAGTAAGAACATCACACCTCTTTCTGTTTCCCCTGAAGTCTTAGTCCATGTCCTGAGTCAAGTTAAATTTCATGACTATCAACAGTTGTAGAGAAGCTTCTTAATGGGGCTTCATAGTGTTTGGACTTCCAAATTGTTATTGTCTAAGATCTTTTGAACTGACATAAGGAAATAGTGATATTTTTTTCTTTGTATAGTAACCTTTTGAACCATTTACTCCAGGATCTAAACAAACAGCTTGATGAAAATAGCAATTTGGATCCTCGTGAAATAGCAAAGGCAAAGGAGGGTCAGAAACATGACTACCCTCAAGGCATTCCTGAGTGTGGCACTGATGCCCTGCGATTTGCCCTCTGTGCATACACAGCTCAAGGTAAGTACAATACAGTAATATCTCCATTAGCCAGAATCCCTCAAACCCGGAAATCTCCGATAGCCGGAATTGAAATTTGCTCAAAAAATCATTCCCAAAGCTGGAATTATCCAAATATTTCCGGCTGTGGGAAAAAATTTTCCATGGTTGAAAATCGAGAGTATTTTCTGAAAAGTCTTGAATATAGACGATAGCTATTTTGGGGGCACCTGAACAAACTCAGTGTCAGGTGGAGGTAGGGTAGGGAATTAGTGGTCTCATATTACTGACCTGATGATGAAATGTCAGGTCACCCTTTCTTGGGTGGGGGATTAGCAAATCTCATGACCTGAAGATGTCTTGAATAAACATGAAACCTAAGGTATATTTAGGGGAGATTGTGCTAAGTATAAGTATAAATGAGCTAAGTTGTATCCCTTCAATTATATTGTCCTAACTTTAGTCTGAGGTATTATTTATTACTAAATGTTAAAATCTAGTGTTTTCACCCAAACATTTCTTAGAGAGGTACGAGCTAGTGAGCTGGGAAGAGGGGGGGGAGGGAGTTGAGTCCATTATTTGAATGGACATTAACTTCACGACTGTATTTCTCTATTTCTCTTAAGTATTAATTGTGTGCATGTACCATCATAAAATTAAGATGTTATTTTTACTAGAACATAGGTATTGTGTCGGAAAAAGTGGAGTTTGGGGGTCAGCCAGTCTCTATTTCTTTTAATCCCATATGTTATGTTGTTCACTTTACGCGTTTCTCACTTTCCGCGGTACCCTGTGGGTTGAATTAAACGCGTAAAGTGATCCTTCCCATACTGGCCAGATATTATGTGTTAAAAGAATATCCTTCCTTAGGCTTTAGTAAGCATTTGCCTTTAGGTGTAATGTTAACCTACATCTATTGAGGATAAAATCTTTCACCTACAAATTGACAATAACACTGTAATCAGACATATCTGGTTGCCTCAACAATTGCAACCCCAGTTGCAATTTCAAATTCTGTGGCATTACTAAGAGTAACGAAGTCTCTGATGCACTCTAAGATTAAGAGAGAAAACGGAGGACTCACGCGTCCTGACGTGAGAGAAAACGGACTCGTATGATGGGGGACCAAATAAAAAAGCATAGCTACATGTTTTGTGGACTACAGTATTAAGCGTACCCTTTTCATCACTTTGTAATAAATCTAGCCATGCCTATGTGTGCTTATGATATTTACCATAACATTATATATATATATATATATTTAGTGGGTCTAAATGGTCGTAAAATGGGAAATTTGGGGTTGGGTCTTGGGTGCCTAGAACCAATTAGAATAAATCCCATAGGTTCTGTACTTTCGTTATCGGTGGGGTCCCAATTAGGCGCGATAACCAAGGGATGACTGTACAGTAGTACCCCGATTTACGCGGTCAATTGAACCCACAGGGTACCGTGGAAAGTGAAAACCACGTAAAGTGAACAACAGAACATATGGGATTAATTCCAAATGAGACTGGCCCGACCCCCAAACTCCAATTTTTCCAACACAATACCTATGTTGTAGTAAAAATAACATCTAAATTTTATGATGGTATTCCCACACAATTAGTATTTAAGAGAAATACAGTCGCCAGGTTAATGTCCATTCAAATAATGGACTCAAATCATCGCTCACTGTTCCTCTCTGAAAGCAGTTGGGTGAAACACTGAATTTTTAACGTTTATTAATAAACAATAATACCTCAGACTAAAGGATTAGGATAATATAATTGACATTTCTGGATTCCTTGCAGGTCAGGGAATATTTTGAATGTAAACTTCATATATTTTGCACAAAAGATAAAATACTTGCTTTGTGTAAACCAAATTATTACATTAGATCAAAAATTTGTATGTCTAATGCAAAATCCATGATGTTTATATTCAAAATGATCATCATTTTGTAAGAATTCCAGCAATGTAAATTATATTCTGGTCCAGTAATTTGTATGACTTTTATGAGCTAAAACAAATATCTTCAGTTAATAAAAAAAAAATATTCTTCACGACACTCTCTGTCAATCAAAGTACCCCAACTTGCCTCCCCCCCCTCTTCCAACTGCGCCAGATGGTTGGTCGGTCCCAACCCTTCCCCCCCACCCCCCACCAACCCTCCCTACCAGAGAAATGTTGGGTGAAAAAACTAGATTTTAACTTTTAGTAATAAATAATACCTCAGACTAAAGTTAGGATAATATAATTGACATTTCTGGATTCCTTGCAGGTCAGGGAATATTTTGAATGTAAACTTCATATATTTTGCTCAAAAGATAAAATATTTGCTTTGTGTAAACCAAATTATTACATTAGATCTAAAATTTGTATGTCTAATGCAAAATCCATGATGTTTATATTCAAAATGATCGTCATATTGTAAGAATTCCAGCTATGTAAATTATATTCTGGCCGGGTAATTTGTATGAATTTTATGAGCTAAATAAAAAAAAAAAATATTCTTCACGCGTATATGAGTAGATGCACCGCAGAAAGTGAAAGTCCGGTTCTCGCGAGGTACCGCATAAATGAGAAATCGCAGAAAGTGAAACCTTGTAAAGCGGGGTAATACTGTACTGTACAGATAGACCCCGACTTACGACGGGGTTAGGGACCCAAATCCAGGTCGTAAGTCCGACATAGATAAAAAAAAAAAAATTTATTTATTTATTTATTTATTTTATTTTTTTTAAATAAATAATCTACAATGAAATACAGTACAGTAAAAGTAATGAATAATGAGGAATGGATACAGTACAGTGAAAGTAATAAATAATAAGGAATGGTTACAGTGTGACTGAGCACTTACCTTTAATGTAGTCAGCTGAATGCACATGGGGCCCCCATAATTTTCTAATTATACATGGATACTGCATTATACTGGAAACGTTTCGGTATAGAAAATGGGTGTCATTTGAAGAAAATTTTTTTTTTTTTTTTTTCTCTATATCTGAGGCGGTCGTAAGTCGTAGCAGTCGTAAGTCGGGGTCTGTCTGTATATACTTGTGACACTGGCCAGTTGCTTCTGGTGTTATGGTACAGGGGTACCAAGTGACAGCACTAGGATCCCGCTTCCTCTGTCAAGGAACAAACAATTAAAATTTAAATTGAAAAAAAAATTCAAATAATGGGACGCAGCGAACCTAAATGGCCCTAGAGCGGGCACAGTCACGTATGCATCGCGTATTCTTATAGATTGTGCTGCCAGACATACGTTATCTAGTGAATTTAGTCAATATTGTACAGTAACAATGGACCTAAGTGCAAACCTTTATTGTACATGTACTGAATGATTACGGTACTAAAATTGTTATGTCTATTGCAAATATAGCTTGTTTATACAGGTATTCAAATAAATTACTATCTTCCAAGAATCCAAGCTATGTAAGTTATATTCACCCAGGTCGTTTGGGTGGCAAATTATGAGAAGAGCTTAGTCACTCTTAAGTAATGATAAATAAACAACCAGGCCTTTCATGCCAACTGTCAAATCTTATCTCAGATAAATATTGACACTCTGTCACCTCACCTCACACTCGACTGGCTACCTCCCTCCCTGTGTTCCCACAAAAAATATTGGTGATTTCTTTATGTTTATTTTATATAATATCTCAGACTAAAGTTAGGATAATATAATTTACATTGCTGAAATCCTTGCAAGACAGAGATTAATTTAAATATAAGCGTCATATTTTTTGCTCAAGATATAAAAAATGTATTACATTAGTGTACAATACTGTAGTACATTTTATAAAAAGTTTTTCAACTGTATTATTGGGTAGATTTACATAAATTTCTTCATTTATTTTCATCCATTTACATGCACACACCATACTAAAAGAAACGTAAAAGAAATAAATGACCTTAGTGCAAAGCTGGAGTGCACATGTACTAATTTGATTACAGTACTAAAATTGTTATGTCTAGTGCGAATTACAACATGTTTATATTCAAATAAATCAGTATCTGAAAGAATCCCAGCAATATTAATTATATTCTCCTAGGTCATATCACTGGCATTTTAAAATGAGAGAAGCTTAGTAGGACTGTTAAATAAACACACAGAGACCTTCGGCTCAAACTGTCAAACATATCACCTCAACCCCCCCCACCCCCTACCACCCCCCTGCTGGCTGGCTCCATCCCTCTCCCCCAGCCAGGGTTTTAGGCTTACAGTTTTTATCTTTTATAATATCTCAGACTAAAGTTAGGAGATTATAATTTGCATTGCTGGAATCTTTGCAAGACAGCCAATAATTTGAATATAAACTTCATATATTTTGCTCAAGAGATAAGAATTGTTGTACATTAGTGTACAGTACTGTAGCACATTTTATAAAAAAGTTTTTCAGCTGTATTTTTGGGTAAATTTACATAGATTTCTTCATTTATTTTCATCCATTTACATGCACACACCATACTAAAAGAAACGTAATAGAAATAAATGACCTTAGTGCAAAGCTGGAGTGCACATGTACTAATTTGATTACGGTACTAAAATTGTTTTGTCTAGTACAAATTATAGCATGTTTATATTCAAATTAATCAGTATGTTACAAGAATCCCAGCATGTTAATTATGTTCACCCAGGTCATTTCACTGGCTTTTTATAAGAGAGAAGCTTAGTCACTTAAGAACTGATAAATATACACGCGTTAGACCTGGGCCTGTGCCAACTGTCAAACGTACTACCTCCCCTCCCCCCACGCCTACTCGCTCGCTCCCACCCTCTCTCTCCCCCATCTGCCCGGCGTTGCTGGAATCCTTGTAAAACAGTGAATAATTTTAATATAAACGTCATGTATTTTGCACAAGAGATAAAAATTAATCACCTGTATCACATTACAGTAGTGATTTAAGAGTAAAAGTGTATATGTACGTATATAGTATTCCACATACACGTAAGTATAAATACAAAGTTTATGTGATGATCGGACAACGTCCATTTCAGTTAACGTCACGTTTCCAAAAACGTATCTAAGACATTAACCGGTGCATGACTATATATATATAACCTGTTCTGTACTTTCTACTTTAGTTTGTACTCACCCCGAAGATGTGAATTACACCTAAACGCTGGGAACTTTTTCCTGTGCATCAGCATATCTATGGATCACACGCACATATAGAGTTTTATTTGTATATATATATATATATATATATATATATATATATATATATATATATATATATATATATATATATTAATCTCACTTAACGCGTCAATTGAACCCAGAGGGTCCTGCGTTATGAACAACAGAACATATGATTAATTCCAATAGAAACCGCCCACAACCCACCTCTCTTTTGAAGACACATAACTATGTTGTAGTAAAATAACATCTTAATTTTATGATGGTACATGCACAATTAATACTTAAGAGAAATAGAGAAATACAGTCGCTAGTTAATGTCCATTCAAATAATGGACTCAACTCCTCCCCCTCTCACACTACACTGCCGGCTCTTCCTCTGAGAAATTTGGGGAAACCACTAAATTTTAATAAATAATACCTCAAACTAAAAGTTAGATACATTGACATTGCTGGATCTTGTAAGACTAGGAATATTTTGATAAATGTCATATATTTTGCACAAAGATAACATAGTTACTCAGAAAAAATTTTATCTAAAATTTGTATGTCTAATGCAAAATATATGTTTATATTCAAAATGATTACCAAATTATAAGAATTCCAGCAATGTAAATTATATTCTGGCCGGGTAATTTGTATGAATTTATGAGCTAAAACAAATATCTTCAGTTAATAAAAAAAATAAAAATCTTCACAACTATCTGTCAATCAAAGTACCCCACCTTGCCTCTTCCAACCGAGGTCAGTCCCAACCTCCCCCACCCCCACCAATCATCTCCTTCAAGAGAAGAGGGTAAAAATTTAGCTTTTAACATTTTGTATTAAATAATACCTCAGATTAAGTTAGGATAATATAATTGACATTGCTGGATTCCTTTAGACTAGGAAATATTTTGATAAATGTCATATATTTTGCACAAAAGATAACAGTTACTCAGAAATTTTTTATCTAAAATTTGTATGTTTAATGCAAAATATATGATGTTTATATTCAAATGATCATCAAATTATAAGAATTCCAGCAATGTAAATTATATTCTGACCGGTAATTTGTATGAATTTTATGAGCTAAAACAAATATCTTCAGTTAATAAAAAAAAATATTCTTCACGGGTAACAGATGGTTGGTCGGTCGGTCTGTCCCTCCCTCCCCCACCCCCCACCAACCGTCCCAAGGAGATGTGTGGGAAAACCAGAATACTTAACTTTTTGTAATAAATAATACCTCAAACTAAAGTTAGGATAATATAATTGACATTGCTGGATTCCTTGTAAGACCAGGAATATATTTGAATAAATGTCATATATTTTACAAAAGATAACATAGTTACCAGAGAAAAATTTTATCTAAAATTTGTATGTCTAATGCAAAATATATGATGTTTATATTCAAAATGATCACCAAATTATAAGAATTCCAGCAATGTAAATTATATTCTGGCCGGGTAATTTGTATGAATTTTATGAGCTAAAACAGGCAGTCAGGCAGGGTGGCGGGTGGCTCAATCTAAAATGATGCTCAGACACTCACCGTGTATATGGAAAAAATCTGTTAAGTGAAAGTTTCTGGCGAGGCACTGCCAGATATGATAAAACAAGTAGGGCGGGGTAATATATATATATATATATATATATATATATATATATATATATATATATATATACACATATATATACATATATATACATACGCCGGTTAACGTCCTAGGTACGTTCTTGGAAACGTGACGTTAACCGAAATGAAAGTTGTCCGAAATTACATAAACCTATGGGATTTATTCTAATGGGGGTTCCAGGCACCCAACCCCAAGTTTCCCATTTTACGATCATTTAGACCCACCAAATATATATATAATGTTATGGTAAATATCATAAACACACATAGGCATGACGAGGTTTATTACAAAGTGATGAAAAGGATACTGTATAGTGGGTAGTCCACAAAACATGTGCTAGCCATGTCTCTTTATTTGAGTGCCCCGTCATAGGAGTCCGTTTTCTCTCACTTCAAGGCCGCCTGAGTCGTCCGTTTTCTCTTAATCTTAAGAGTGCACCAGGGACTACTGTATTATTTTTTAGTGGTGACACAGAATTTTATATTGCAACTGGGGTTGCAATTGTTGAGGCAACTTAGATATGTCTGATTACATTTGGAATATTCAAGATCCATTGTGAGTGATGTTTAAAGCTTCACCTGTCTTTATGGTTGGTAAAACTTGTCAAGTCTGTCAGTCTGAGTGGCATGTGTGAGGCCTTGTGTTTGTACAACCGCTAAATATATAAATATATAATGTTTTTGTAATTATCAGAAACACACATAGGCATGACTAGGTTTATTACAAAGTGATGAAAATTATACTATCAGTACTGTACAGTGGGTAGTCCACAAAACTTGTAGCCATGTCTCTTTATTTGAGTGCCCCGTCATAGGAGTCCGTTTTCTCTCACTTCCGGACTCCTGAGTCGTCCGTTTTCTCCTAATCTTAGAGTGCAGTGCACCAGAGACTTCGTTATTCCTTAGTAATGACAGAATTTGAAAATGCAACCCCAATTTCAACTGGGGTTGCAATTGTTGAGGCAACTAGATATGTCAGATTACAGCAAATGTGTTATTGTCAATTTGTAGGTGAAAGATTTTATCCTTAATAAATGTAGGTTAACATTTCACCTGGAGGTGAAAGATTTTATCCTTAATAAATGTAGGTTAACATTTCACCTGGAGGCAAATGCCTAAGGAAGGAAGGATATTCCTTTAACCCATAATATCTGGCCAGTTTGGGGAGGATCATCGTGTCTCATCAGGGTGTCGTGGAGTGGTGGTCCAGCAGGCGTCACGGAAGTTTTTTTTTGGGGGGGGGGGCACGGATGTATATGCGAACGGACGTTGTTCGGTTGGACGTTAACAGGCGCATGACTGTGTATATATATATATATATATATATATATATATATATATATATATATATATATATATATATATATATATATATATATATATATATATATATATATATATATATATATATATATATATATATAAATCCACGACCTCACCAGCCAGGACTCGATCCCTCGACCTACTGCGTGGGCCAGGGAACGTTACTGACCATGCCACAAGAGCACTAAAAGCAGTTCTAGACTATGTTTTATTTCACACAAAGCCTGTTCATCGAGCTGATGGTGCCGTGATTTGGTAAAATGCTACTGACATCCACATAAGCAGTCACCTCAGGTTGCCTGATTACCTCCAGGATGTCGTCGTTGGTGGTCTCGGAGAAGCCTGCAGCTCTAACACTCCTGGAATTTTAAGGTCATGCTGTATAATTTGCAAAATGTGCCTTGTCTTGCAACTGAAACCTATGATAAAATCCTATCTACTTCTCATTGTGTATGCAGTATCTACATGGTATATTGGCCATATGTTAACCAATTGTTCTTCTTCCAGGCCGGGATATCAACCTCGATGTATTGCGGGTCAATGGATACAGAAACTTCTGCAATAAGCTGTGGAATGCTACAAAATTTGCCATGATGAATATTGGCAAGGATTTCAAGCCTCATGAATCACTCAACTGTTTACAGTCAATGGTTAGTGTCCTTATAGGTGATGCAAATTTTTTCTGCTTCATTTTCAATCCTACATAATTTAGGATTATGATTTAAATTATTCAATAATAATAATTATGTTTGCTGCGTGAGTTTATATACCCATTGTAATACAGTATTATGATAATTATTAAACCATCATAGTTATTACATTATGTAGTAGAAGATTATGTTTTACCAGTATTTTGGAAAATTTATGCTTAAGCTGTTTACAAATTTATGAAAAGAAGGGTCTTTTAAATTTCCTTTATTCAGATTTCTTGCATTATAATCTACATTGGTCTGGTAGACCATGTACTGTACTTCAAAACTGACTGGTATTACTCACTAGGTGAAAACTGCAAGACAGAAGTGCAAGGCTCAGGCCATTGCACCTCCCAGCTCATCCAACAACATAAAGTACAGTGACCATTGCTCATCCAGACTCTCTGAGCTGAATGAAAAATTTGAAAATTTTAGCTATATTAATGGTTTCATGCCCACACAAGATGACATTAGTATCATACAAAGATTAGAGGAAGTTGGGTCATCAGTGTCACAGTATCCCCACGTATTGCGGTGGTACTGCCACATGGCCAGCTTCTCACAAGCAGAGAGAGATTCATTCACGAAGGCTAGTGGCACTCCTCTGGTTTCCACCATTGAGTGCGGAGAGGTAAGGCATGGCAAGTCACTTACTGCACACCTTTACATTGCTTCTGTATCTCCCTTAATTTTTTTTTTTTTTTTTTGTATGTATTATCTAGGAATATTTTTTTTTTTTTGGATGTCTGGCATGTGAATCAATTGATTTTATAGTACAGTATACTCTCAATTTAATGGAATCCTATATAATGAACTCTCAATTTAGCGTAAGGAATTTTTTTCCATTATTTTTCGCTCAATTTAGTGAACTAGTTTGCTAAATTGAGATTAATGATATAAAAATCACCGTATAAGATTCAGCCCCCCATTTTAGCAAGGAGTATTTAGGAAACTATTACCAGTAACATATAAAACCACATTGGAAAAGGGAAACACTGGAGCACCTTAGCTTTCGTCTTTATTCAAGACATCTACAGAGGCAACTGAATATACAGGCTCTGAGAGAAGCTTATGTACAATGAGTGACCTTACATAACATCAGGTCAGGCCAGTAACATGGGATCCACTAATCCTTTCATCACCTCCACCACAAACGAAAGAGCTTATAAAAAAATGGGTAAAAAACATGAGACCCACTAATCATCAACCAGGCATTAACCTCAAATGCTTTCAAAGCATTTTTAACCTTAGGCCAGTTATTATTCATTAGTTAATACCCCAACACTACAACTTCACACACACAACATCTACAGCTTAAAGTATTGTGTGAGACACTGAGTTGGAGGGAGGCGGGGGGCTGGGAAGGAGGGAGGGATTCAGGAGGCAGGGTGGGAGTGGAGGGAACAGGGAGGGAGAAGGAAAGCTGGATGTTTTATCGTTGATAATATAAAATATTAACCACTATAAAAAAATATTATATTTAATTTGACATCAACATTACATACACCCAGACCTCTCCATTGAAAGGAGGCTGGGTAGGCTTACACATGTCCTGTGCACAATATATATATATGATGGGCTCAAAGACCAAAAACTAACCACAATGCTATGAGGTTGTTTGGAAAATAACGATAAAGCAAAATTTTGCTATAGGTTAGGTTAAGTTGTATCTATTGGGCAAAACCCAAGATGCAAAATTTTACTTTCTGGTTCTTTTGAAAACATCCACAATGCATTGTGGTCGTTTTCAGTCTTTGAGCCCAACATATACACAGTGATATACCCATTAGCCGGAACAATTGGTGCAGAGAGCTTCCGGGAATGAGAGAATTCCGAGTACAGTGGTCCCTCGGTTAACGAGCGCCTCGGTTAACGAGATTTCGGTTAACGAGTTACCTCCCATAAGATTCTTAACTTCGGTTAATGAGCAATCCCTCGATTAACGAGTTTCTTACGAGCTGACCTCAGCATGTTTTCGCTTGCACTTGGCGGTCAACCAGCTGTCGTATTAGTCCGCCAATACAGTAATCTGTTCTAGGGCTTAAATTCCTTACTATTTTACTAAATATCAAGATGTTTATACTATTCAATAATTTTAAAAGTTTAATATAAAATTTTTTAGTCATTTTAACAATAATTGAACATAACTGAAGGTAAGGTCACTAGTTTCTAGCGCGCCATCCAGCCTGTTAACACACCAAACAAGCGTTAGTCTCTCTCTGTTTTCAGTGGAGGTAACATCTTGCTTGAGACTCTGTTCAACTAAACGTTTTTCTTCTGTGTTTGCAAGCAAATTATTGGTCATTTTGAAATTTATTTTACATATTGACAATATATAGCGCAGTGCATTGTTATTTTAAAGAAAATATTCTTTATTTACAGCTAGTTTAAACTTATTAGATCACGTGTTGACATTGTTTGAATCCAGCATGGGGCCTAAGAGATCAAGAAAAGCGATTTCACTCCAAACCAAGCAAGAAAATATTAAGATACATGAAGAAGGTGCCTATTAGAACATATGCACTATGCAAAGAATATGGCATGTTGACATCAACTGTGCCGACAATTCTTGCACAGAAAGACATATTTAAAGAAGTGAAAGAGAGAGACAAATCTACCAGAGTGTTTAAAAGTAGATCCCTAATTTCAGAAACTGAGAGGTTACTTTTCATCTGGATTAAGGAAAAGCAGATAAGAGGATTCAGTTTCTACTGAATTCATTTGTGAAAGAGCCAGGGAGATTTACGAACATTTAAAGACAATAAACCTGGTTCTTCAGGCACAGAATTTGAAGATTATCGGGCCAGCAAAGGCCGGTTCGAAAAATTTAAGAAAAGAAGTAACATTTTAAGTGTTGTTAGGCATGGTGAAGCTGCTAGTGCTGATAAGGAAGGGGCAGCAAAGTTGTTAGTGGAATTTAAAGAACTGATGGAAGAAGAAAATTATCTTCCACAGCAAGTGTTCAATGTGGACGAAACTGGGCTGTTCTGGAAAAAGATGCCCAAAAGAACATTCATCACTAGAGATGAAGCCTCTTTACCTGGGCATAAACCCATGAAAGACCGTCTCACTCTATTGCTTGGTGCCAATGCTTCAGGGGATTTCCGACTGAAGCCTATGCTTGTCTACCACTCTGAAAACCCCAGGGTGTTCAAGCAACAGAAAGTGGTAAGAACAAAGCTTGGAGTTTATTGGAAGTCCAACCGTAAGACATGGGTGACAAGACAGCTCTTTAATGAATGGGATGTTGAGGTGTTTTACCCTTCTGTCAAGAGCTACCTAACCACCAATAAACTCCCTTTAAAGGCTCTTCTCCTCATGGATAATGCTCCTGGTCATGACCCTGAACTTGCCAGAACTTTGGAGTATCAATTTGACTTTTTGAAAGTGTTGTCTTTGCCTACATCAATCATACAGCCAATGGACGAGAATGTGATCAGCAACTTCAAGAAGTTGTACATGAAGAAAATGTTTAGGAGGTGTTATCAGGCAACTTCCAATGATCCTGAACTAACACTGAAACAGTTCTGGAAGACACAATTCAACATCCTGGAGGCTGTAAAATTGATTGTGTCATCATGGCAAGAAGTCTCCACTAGATCCCTCAATTCTTCATGGAAAGCACTGTGGCCATCAGTAGTCCATGATTTTGAGAGATTTCAGGATGACACAGAGTTGGACCAGGAGATTGTGTCCATTGGTCAGTCATTGGGCCTTGAAGTGGAGGAGGAGGATGTGGAAGAGCTTGTGATGTCTCATGAGGAGGAACTTACTCCTGATGACTTGAAGCAACTGGATGAGATGTTAGAGGCTGACAGTGGTGAGGAGGAAATGGAAAGTGATGACCATATGTCAACTTCAGAGTTGAAAGATGTGATTTACCACTGGGAGAAGTTCAGGGAACTGGCTTCAAAGCACCCAGATGTGGAAAAATCTGAACTAACTTTGTGTCATGTTGAGGACACAATGGTCTCCTTCTTTAAACATAAGTTAACGATGAGGAGGAGAGATGCCCCACAGACCACAGTTGACACTTTCTTCAGTAAAAGGCAGAGGGAACAAGATGCTATCCCTCAGCCTTCCACTTCAAGAAGGAGAGATGTTCATGGTGGAGAATCTGTCAGTCCAGAGGTTCCTGACATTTTCATGGAAGGTGACTCACCTTCCAAGAAGCAGTAAAATGCCTCTCCTCCACCTCCACTTCCTTGTTTTCTCCCTTCTCCTCCTCCACCTCCCACTTCAAATTCACATCAGCATCATCATCCAGGAGCCTTCTACATACACACCTCAAAGTTAGTGTAATTTTCTACCTTTTTTTGTTGAATTTAGGCAATTTTCGGTGAGCTGGAACCAATTACCCAAAAACCCATTGAAACAATGGTTTTGGTTAACGAGCAACCTGCTGGAAAGGATTGTGCTCGTTAACAGAGGGACCACTGTAATAAGACAACTCTCTCAAAGCCGGAAAAATATCCCTCATCCCCAGAATTTTCCGGGTAATGGAAAATATTCTCAGAATTTCCAGAAAATGCACCTGATTTATATCTCTCAAACCCAGAAAAAACTCCCCGGAATTTTCCGGGTATTGGAAAAAATTGGCTCGGAATTTTCCAGAAGATGTGCTCCTCAAAAATTCTGGCTTTGGAAACGATTTTCCGTGAAATTTTCAAAATTTCAATTCTGGCTTTCAGCGAGTTTCGGGTTTGAGGGATTCCGGCTAACGGAGATATTACTGTAAACAGTATACAGCTACTCCCCGACTTACGACAGGGTTAAGAACCCAAATCCAGGTCGTAGGTCGAAATGGTCGTAAGTTGGAAATGCAAAAAATATTACAGTACATATAAAATCTAAAATGAAATACAATACTGGACAGTAAAAGTAATCAATAATGAAGAATGGATTCAGTGTTACTGTGCACTTACCTTTAATGTAGTCAGCTGAATGCACACGGGGCCCCCATAATTTTCTATTTACAGGTATACATGGAGACTACAGTAATACCCCGATTTACGCGGTCAATTGAACCCACGGAGTAGCGCGTAAAACGAGAAACGCGTAAATGGAATAACAGAACATATGGGATTAATTGAAATAGAGACTGGGCCGACCCCCAAACTCCACTTTTTCAGACACAATACCTACGTTGTAGTAAAAAGAGTATCTTAACTTTATGATGGTATGCACACACACATAATACAGAAGAGAAATATTTATAAGAGAATAATATACTGTACCAGGTAAAAGAAAAATCAAGGTTTAACACTTACGTCAGGTTAGCTTAGGTTAGAAAAAATTAAGGTTTAACACTTACGTAAGGTTAGGTTAGGAAAAATCAAGGTTAGGTTTAACACTTAGTAGAAGTAGTTAGTAGAAGAAATGGGTCGGCTTACGGGAATGGCGGCTGGTTCCGAGGCAGAGGGCAGACTACTGGCCCTCAAGTGAGTCACCATCACTGTCCTCCACATTTGTCACGGCGTCCCTGACAAATCCTCAAAGTCCATGGCTTCACTGGCTTGGGCTGGCTGTGGTGGATTGCGGGCGAGGAACTCGGTAATGTTTTGTTGACGGCTAGTGTTGATGTTGTCGTGATATACCATGATGTACGGCTCCATAGTCTGCAACAGCTGGGTAGTGAAGATTTCATAGCGGTTATCGTTAGGGTCGTTGGAAAGGATGAGCTTCAGTTTCTCTGCACACTCGATGGCATCCTTAACATTACCATGCGTTAACTTGTGTTCTTCTCGGGTTGACGCACCACCTGCCTCTTCACTGACGTCATCGTCTTCTAACATCTCGTCGGCAGTCACCTCAGGATCCTTTATCACCTC